CATAGTTAAGCCACATCCAAAGCTCAACATTCTTCCCATGACCTCCAATGTACATGTCCCTCTTGTCTTCCAAATGAAATAACATTTAAAAAAAAACTGGGAATGAACCAAAGGTGTTTGTGATTAGAAGAATATAAAGTTAATTCATAGAAAAAAATACTTAAAAATTCAGAGCATTTACACTCTAAGAACATAAAGATTAACAAATTTATGAAATAGGTTATATGAACTCGTACACATGCTGAAATCTGCATTTCACGAGACAGGTGGGCCAACACATTTCTTTTTACTGATGAAATAAAATAAAAATAACTTTTCTGTTCAGAGGTGCTAGTATTAATCCCAAAGATGGGAGAAGAAAGACCACTGACCCAAATAATTGTGGCCAAAATAATTAAAGAAAGCAATTCATTAAAGCAAGAATTTGATTCATGTACATGAGCTGCTGCACCCTAAGATGGGGCTTAAGAATTCAGCATTGGATGTGAGGAAGGCAGGCTTTTATACACCTCATGGGTAGTGGGCTTCCAAATAGGGGGAATAGGCAGGATTACAGGATCAGAACATAGCATGTGGTCAAAACAAGGTAATCACAATTGGTAGTCATAACAAGGTAATCATAGGTGGTCATGTGACTTTTTGAAACAAAGTTGCATGATGGTTATTAACCACTTTTTGAAACAAAGACAAGATTGTCATTCGTGGAACAGGCAGTACAGAACTATTTCTGCTTATGGTTTCAGATGAGACATAATCCAGTCTTTGAAAAGCAGAGGTTTAGTCATAAACATGACTGAACCTAGTTTGTCTTTACTATCAGTTGACCTTGAAGATTAAGACAGAGGCAGGCTGGTTCACTAATAATAAAAGTGTGAAGATGGATGAGAATTGGAACTTAGGATACCTGCAGAGGATTCAGAAGGACTGTCAGCTTGAATGTGGCTGAAAAAAAAACACACTGAGTGCATCACTGCTGTGGAAAAAGTACCAAGAGTAACACAGCATCACCATGCAGAACACTGCAAGGCTGCATGGTCTGCTTATACTTCAGTTATACAGTCACAAACCTCATCATATACTTTTGATGTAGCTAGCTGTGGTGGGGATTGTCCCTTAATGGAGAGAACAAAAATATTTACAGGTAGGTAGATCAGTTAGGATAGGATGGTAGAGGCTGATATTTGAGGCATGATATGATTATGATTCAGTTATGCACTCACACAACTCAAGGTGATACTACTTGATGTTGCAACCTATTATGGGAGTTGGTCCATAAAAGAGGGAAGAGTAATTAATTATTTGGACACAGGTGGACCTAAAAGGATTGGATGGGAGAGGCTGATAAGAGAGAGGCAACGGGGCAGATGCCAAGAAACATCTTAGTGGGAATATGGACTCAAAGGTTTCCAGTGTGCAACTTGTTCTTTGTATACATACTGGAAGTCACAAGGTCTGCTCAACATTTTTAAAAGGCTCACCCAGGTCTAAAACATTTACTCAGCTCCTAACGGCAAATCCCAATTTCAGAACAAGGAAGCAGAATCTAGAACCAATCTGTAAAAGGGCCTTCTTCACCCTTGGTCAGCTCTCTACCTCTAGACCTGAAAAATGGAAGAAAGGTAAGAATATATTCCAAGAATGTTCAGAGAGTTACTGTCTTGGGGTTTTTCTCTATATCCGTATCATTGTGTGGCTACCACAAAATGCAACAAGTAGAGTCCAGGCCTTCCTCCTGGGAAGGAATGAGAGAGAGGCTTCCTCTTGAGGCAGAGAGATGAACTGCCTTAAACAGACTTTTCTTACTTTCTCCAAAATAATTCATATTCATGTCTGTTATTTTTCAAGGAGAAAGGTAATATAAATATCTTGTTTTCTAGGACAAAACCCTGTACAACAGGCTCATTGTTTCTTCTCAAAGTTGATCTGTAAAGTTTGTATGTTGCATTCAAGAAGAAAGAGATGGTTAGAATTTGAGTAACTGAAGAATACCACAGGAAATGTGGTATTCTTTATTTAAAAAGATCACAGGTCTTAGGGACAGAGGAGATGAATGGATAATAATGATAAAGCAAGAGGGTGATGGAAGATGTCCACTCCTTAGCTCCAATAATCAGCAGAAGGAATTGGTACTGTAGTACGAGAGAGGGGATGAGGGTGGTGGGAAGAGAGGTCATAGTTTTAGGTCTGTAGTAAGAAGGGATAACTAAATGCACAGAGAAGCACTGTGGTGATCAATACACAGCTGACCAGGAGAAGGATAGGAAATACAAGCATCTTGCATTTTGCTCTCTTGTACCCTTGAAATGTCACCAACTGCTTCAAATAAAAAGAAATTAAGAGAAAAAGACAGATCTTATGGGTGAGATAAGGCACTTCTGTGACATGTCAGGGAGCAGAGAGAAAGATGGAAGGAAAAACTTCCTCGCTTGCAAATCTTCCACCATGAGGTTTCTAGATTTAACTGTCATCAGATCATTTCTCTCATATGCTTCAAAGAGGTGGGGGTACTCACCCATTTTGACTAAAAATAACAAGATTATGCTGAAATTTATGCAGGGAAATATACTTCTTATTTGCTATAGCAAGAGAGTGGCTACTCCAATACAGAATTGTAGAAAATGCCTTTCCAAGAAAGTTGTTATGCATGGATTTGCAACTGTGCCTACCCAGACACAAGAACTACAGCATTGCTATTCTTCAGACCTAAAGGGGAAGCAACATGCTGTTGTCAAGAACTCTCAGGCACATCAACATGTCAGTGCAAGGAAGACACACAGAGGAACAGGGGGGTTGTTCCTATAAAATCCTGACACAGCCTGCTGCATTTCTCCACTCATCTCTGAATCTCCAGTTTCTAGTAATGTTTTTGTCATCTGAGCAGATAGAATGCAAATGGGAATCCCTTTTAATTAAAAACTCAGATAATTCATTAAGAGAGAAAATGGACTTAGCCTCTCTGGCAGTCTATAAGGGTCCTGAAGGTCTCTCAAACATGAGATCATAGAGAGATTTTTGGTATCTTCTCAAAAATAGGAGAAAGTGGAGCAGAGAACAGAGAGAAAAACAACAGAAGAGATGCAGAGAGAAAAACTCAAGGATATGATATTAATGTGATTTCAGGAAACCCCTTTTGTACATTTGAACATATTTCTCCCAAGAGACAACATCACAATAAATGTTGATTAAGGAAAGCATGTACAGGGGTTATAGGTAAACGCTACCATCACCACTTTTATGCTGACTGTAGCTGATGTCCACCACCTCCATTCTCAGTCCATATTGACTTCTCTCCTGCTGTTTCACAAGGTTTTTTTAGCTAAGGATTTTATTCATCCACAATTGTGACTGCTATTCTGCTTATAGTGTGAGTAATACTCCTGTGCTTTTCCATTATTCACTTCTAATAGGCACAGAGTGTTCTGGGGTACACAAGTTTGTCAAGGGGGTAATCCTTTCCTGGGTAGACAGATTAGCTTATAAAGTAACTGTGGTACAAGCATGATCACATGAATTCCCACCTCCAGAGTAATCCAGGTTTGGCAGGGCATACCAGTATTTCCAGTGCTGGGGATGCAGAGACCAAGGATCCATGGAGTTTACCGGTCTGCTGTTGAGACTGTGAGCTCCATGTTCAGTGAGAAACCCTGTCTCAAAAAGTGAGGTAGTGAAAACAAGCAAAAACCTCTTAGTTCCTCCATCTTTCCAGCTTCTCCAACACCTCTTCATTCATCTTAGTAGCAATGGGTGCTGCAATGTGTCACATAGTAAGCCCTTTTGTTTAAGCAGCTTTACTTGAAAATGTTCATTGCAAAGAGTCATTGGTCTGATTCAAGGCCTCTGGTTTATGCTATATCATCATCAATGGATCCTCACTGAAAAACATCTTGGATATCCTGAGGCCACTGGGAGTTACTGAGATCTTGTGGGTATTATTTCACAGGACCAGTCACTTCCCCAGATCTAGCAGGTCCTAGTTTGGATAGATGTTAGGGTGGGACAACCCCAGACCTGGTTGTTGGCCTGGGTAGGTAGTTGACCTGGTCAGTCTAGACCACTTGGGCCATCCCTCAGTTGAGGGGAAGAGCCAGCTTCCCTACACCTATGCCATCAGGGTCAGTTCTCCCTCACCTATGATGAGTGGTGGGGCAATCCCTCCAAAGTGGGGGGGGGCAAGCTCTGACATTATAATCGGGGCCAGCTCTCTTACTGCAGTGTCCAGTAAGGGGCAGAGCCAGCTAGACCATGGTCAGTGAATGGTGGGGATGGCTCAACAAGCTCTCTGTTTTCATCATGAACATATCCTGTGGCCCCCTGAGATGACAGGCCATAGACATCAACACGGACCCCAGTTGCAGCAGGACCATGGACCTAGAGATGGCCTTCTACAGCAGCTTGAGCCTGGGTGACATCCTGGCTCTTGGTGGAAGCACAGGCCACTCAGATCAGAATGGCTCTGGTGGTGGCATGGCTCCTGGACTCCAACAAGGCCACAGGTTGCAGCCCCTATTCCAGGCTTCTGTGTAACCTTTGGTGGCAACACAGACCTTGGTTGTGCTGGGACCGTAGACCCAGACATGGTATTCAGCAGCAGCCAGGTTGGATGTCACCATTGCCCCAGATGGTGGTAGAGGTTACCCAGATAATCATGACCCCAGTGGCAGCATGACACTCAGATAACAACATTGCCCCAGGTGTTGGCTCAGACGCCAGGAATCTGCATGCCCCTGTAGTGAAAGGATCCATGGACATCTACAGAGACTCAGAATGCAGTAGTGCCACAGAACCAGACATGGCTCCCAGTAGCAGCCCTGGCCCAGATATCACCATGGCACCAGATAATAGAATGTGCCTCTTTGGTCTGTATGGCCCCAGATGTAGCATGTCCCTTGAGCACCAACATGGTTCCAGGTGACTGATCAGACCTCAGCAAACATACAGTACAGTCCTCAGTTGCAAGAGGAGCCACAGACATTTACTGCTGTAGGGCCAGAGACCCAGGCATGGCTCCTACCTTCAGCCCTGGCCCAGACATCACCATGGATACAGATAACAGAATATGCCACTTTGGTCTGTATGGCCCCAGGTGTGGCATGGACCTTGGGAAACAACATAGTCACAGGTTGGTTGGTCAGAACCCAGAAACCACACAGTCCTTGGTTGCAATAGGAGCCACAGACATTGGCCCAGATCCTGATTGTTATAGGGCCTTGGAACCAGCCATGGCCCTCTGCAGGATCTCAGGCCTGGATGACACTATGGCCTTGGATGGCAGCACAGGCCACACAGATCACTGTGGCTCTGGTGGGGGCACATCTCCTGGATACTCACATGGCCACTGATGGCAGCCCAGACATTGGACAACTCCATAGCTCCTTGTAGCAATGGGGGCATTGACTACATGCCCCTGTAGTACAGGACTACACAGCCCCTGGCTTTGGTAGAACCATGGACCCAGACATGGCCCCTGGCAGTAATATGGCCCAGATGCCAACATCCCCCTGATTGGCAAGAAGGACTCCCATATCAGCCTACTGCTCACCACATCAACCTGTTCCATGCCACCTCATTCCATAGCACATGAACCATTCCTCTCCTTCTTCTCTCCTATTTCTCAACCACATTCTTGCTTGTCATAATGTGACCTACCAAGCTGGCCTATGGGTGGCTTGCATACACCTGAGCTAGACAGCATCAGATGGGCCATGGAAGTCTTCCTGCCAATCCAGGTCTTGAGGACCAAGTCTGCCACGTGGGTTGCTTCCACAAACCTGAGCCGAACATCATCAGTTGGGCTGTGGATTGTTGACCACTTGTAATGCTATTCTATTGTGAACTAATATTGTACAAAACATTGCAGTTCCCTTTATACTCATTAAGAATGCATTAAGACCTAAAATATGATGTATTATAGAAAAATTCTGTAGGTTGTTGACAAGGGTATGTATTCCATCATAGTTCTTGAGTGAACTGTTATGGACTATGTTTTAGTTAAGATATTGTTGCTATGAAGAGACCCCATGGTCATGGCAATTCTTATAAAGGAAAACATTTGATTGGGGCTGGCTTACAGGTTCAAAGGTTTAGTCCCTTATCCTCATGATAGGAAGCATGGTGACATGCAAGCAGACATGGTGCTAGAGAGGAAACTGGGAGTTCTACATTTGGATCCCCAGGAAGCAGAAAAGACTGAGCACACTGTCTCCAACAACACCACACCTACTTCAGAAAGGCCACATCTCCTAATAGTGCCACTCCTTATGAACCTATGGGGTCATTTTCATTCAAATCACCACATTCCACTTACTGGGACCCATAGACTTATATCTTTATCATAATGCAAAAAAATGCATTTAATCCAACTTCAAAAGTCCATGTAGACTATAACAATCTCAAATTTGTTTTAAGATCCAAAATCTCTTCCAAGACTCATGCCAATCTCTTAAGTGAAACTCCTCTACAATCAAAATGAAAAACGAGATCACATACTGCCAACATATAATGGCACATGATATACATTACCATTCCAAAATGGAGGAAAGGAAGCATGGTGAGGAAAAACTGGACCAAAGTAAGATGCAAATCAAGTTGGGCAAACTCTAAACACTTCATCTCCGTGTCCAATGTCAAAACACTCTTCAGATCTCCAACTCTGTTCAACTTTTTTAGGGCAACACACTTCTTTCTCTTGAGCTGATTCAACTCCCTGTTAGCAGCTTTCCTTGGCAGGTATCCTACAGCTCTGGAATCTCCAACATTTTGGGATCTCCATGGTAATCCAGGCTTCACATTCACAGCCTTGCATAATTGCCTCACTAGGCCTCCATATTCAGGAACACTCCTGAGACATGCCTGGCCTCAGATACTTTCTGTTTTTGCAGAGAGAGATTCCATAACCTTCTATCCTTGACTCTAAAGCTGGAACCACATGGCCAAAGCTGCCAAGTTCCACTGCTTGCTGGGCGGTAACCTGGCTCCCTCATTCAATTATACCTTACCACCTTTCTGTTTTTGATAGTTTCCTTTACTGCCTAAGCTTGTCTGTCCTGAATCTCAGTATGTAGACAAGGCTGGCCTTGAACTCAGAGATTCTCTTGCCTCTCTCTCATGAGTGCTGAGATGAAAGGAATATACCATTATGCCAGGATCTAAACTATTCTTTCATACCTTTTCACAAGTTGAAAGATTAGCTGAGTAGAGTTATTTCCTGAGGTTAGCATACCCTTTATTTCTTTTAATATCATGCTTTTCGTTAATCTGCTTATATCCTTGAACAAAGGACTTAGCTGCATTCCACTTCTTGGTGCAGCTTTTCTCCTCAAACTCTACATTTTATAACTTTTTTTGATTAGCTTATTTATTTTCATGTTAGATCTGCATAAGAGTGAACTCTAATAACCACAAGACAGAGTTGATACTAGGCAGTTTTGAGATTTCCCCTGCCAATGCAATTAATGCAAAACTCTTTAGTTTAAGCCCAGGCACATTTTTTTGGACAAGGGCAGGAAACAGCCATATTCTTCACCAAAATACCCCAACAATAGTGTCTAGGGAACATACTAACATTCTTTTCCTCTGAACCCTCTTGTGCCAGGTCTCTACAGTTCAAGTCACCCTTAGCACCACTGTCTTCCACTGACTAGAAAAACACTGACTAGCAAAACCAGTCACAATGGGAGCTGAAGATGAGTGGATCCTATTTTGGCTTCCTGTTTCCATTTCATGAAGCTGAAATGCACACTGGTGAACAATTGTAACAACCACTGCCATGTTACTTTCAGCAGCAAGATCAATATGTTTAAGTCAATTGCTTACCTCCTACCAGTCTGATTATTTTAAGCTGTTGATGCCCCAGATGGTTTCCTGGATTAAAACATTGTGCTACTATGGGGAGATCAATGATCCAAAAATGAATGATATGATCTTGGTGAACACAGCTGAGTTTGTTGGGTCATTTTGTTTAAAGTCCTTGTGTGAGGTTAGTTTGTAAGGTCTTCTGGATGCTTTCCCTGGATCTGGAGCTCTGACTTGGTATTCTCAGATGATTTCTCCTACATGAAAGTCTCTGTCTACAATAAGAAGTTATCCAGAAGGATCCTGTGATGCAAAGTTTTCTATATGGGTACTGTTCAGGCTAAGCTACTGAAAGCATAAGAACAGCCCCGTATTCTGCACCCCGTATTCTGGTCAGTGTGTGAAAGAAAAGCTTTCTTTTCTTCAAATGTCTTTGTGTCTTCAGGGGTGAGAGATAGAAGCCAACTGAGAATGTCTGTATGGGGAGTGGAGTGGAAAGAAAGTTCTAAATGATGCTACCTGCCCAGCTTCACTGCACTCTTTTCCAGACTGTTTGCATCCATGTATAGATCTCAAGCTCTTCCCAGGGGTTGGGACACTGTTCCCAAATGGAGGTGCTCTCTAGCTTCCTCTGCAGCACAGGTCACACTTTCCATGCCAGAGACCTGTGCCTTTGCATGTAGGTACAAGTTACAAACCAGAACAATTACTCCAAATTTTGAACTACCCTTGAATTAATGGTTCCTTGGCTCATTTGTTATAGTTCTTAAATCTCCCCTGTAACCCTGTAGAGAACAGGATACTGGTGACATAATCACAAACATAGACGTGATTGATGTCATTCAAGGCTTTGTCCTTCTAGTTTTCAAATTTTAAAATAAAGACTCAGTCATTCTAGCATCAGAAGTGTGACTGTTCGAACACAGGTCTTCATAAGAAATCCTATTACCTTCATGACTCTCATTCATGATTCCATTTTCCCTATTTGGTAGACCCCTTACACTGTCTGAGGGCAGCTATGGCTTGTGCCAGGATCTCCCATATTCCTACACCTGAGAAGGAACTACAGCCCTGGAACAGAAAGACAGTTAGTTTCAGAATTCTGTCTCTTGCTGACACAGCATAAGATGCTTACCAACTGTACTAGAACCATTGAGTACCCCAACATCACTAGAAGCATTGGTCTGCAAATAGACTGAATAGTACAAACTGGATTTAAAGAAGTTTCTAGCACTGTGGGGGTTTGATAAATTATGTAATCTCTGTAAGTCTGTCTCCCCCTCCTTATGAACCTGTGCCAGACATTGCCACATAGCCAGGTGGTCTTGACAGAAAGTTTCATGTGTTCATATCTCAATTTACTTTGCAGGAATACCAGTGGAAATTTCTCAAGCATGGGTCCATCCATCCCAGCCTGGATCACTGACTACAACACAACAACGAATAGAAGTTACTACACTGGAAACTTACAATGTGTCACCATGTACAAAATCTTCAATATTCTTTCTGTCATCATTTGCATGGTTGGGCTGGCAGGAAATGCCATAGTGCTGTGGCTTCTGGGCTTCCATGTGCACAGGAATGCCTTCTCTGTCTATGTCCTCAACCTGGCTGGGGCTGATTTTCTTTACCTTTGCTTTCAGACTGTGTTTTCCCTGAGACAAATCCTTTTATTGTTTGATGTCAACTACTTCCATATTCCATATTTCACCCGTATATTAATCTTTGCTTACCTTGCAGGTTTATGTATGATTACAGCCATCAGTGTTGAGCGATGTCTGTCTGTTTTGTGGCCCATTTGGTATCACTGCAAACGACCAAGATACACGTCATCTGTCATGTGTGCCCTGCTCTGGGCCTTCACTCTACTGTTAAGCCTGCTGTGGTTTGGTTGCAGTTTACTGCCTAGTGAAGACAATTACTATTTCTGTTTGACTGTTACTTTGTCCACTTTTGTATTTATAATAGTACTATCTGTGTTTCCTTGTGTATTCAACCTGGCCCTGTTGGTCAGGATCTTCTGTGGCTCACAGAAGATTCCTGTGACCAGGTTGTATGTGACCATTGCACTCACAGTGCTGGTCTTCTTACTCTTTGGTCTGCCCTTTGGTATGTACTGGATAATTTTCCTTTCAAGTGGAAAGTGGCCTAGTGTTTTCTCTTGCAAAAGTTATGAAATTACATCTTTCCTGTCCTGTGTTAACAGCTGTGCCAACCCCATCATTTACTTCCTTGTTGGCTCCATTAGGCATTGCAGGTTCCAGAGGCAGTCTCTGAAGATTCTTCTGCAGAGAGCCATGCAGGACACTCCTGAGAACGAAGATGGAGAGAGGGCTTCTTCAGGAAACACTGGACAGCAGGAAACAGGCTTGTGTAGTAGTTGAGTGAGTCCTTGATCAAACACAGTTGCTTTGAGAATCAGCTTGGCCCTTATCTGTGTGGGCCTTTTTCACAACCTTGTTCAACTGGTTTGAGAAAATAGTCATTTTGTAGAAATTGGCTAAAATGGGGCTTCATTTTAAAACTGACTTCAGCTCCCTAAAGCTGCCTTATGTGGACCTATGTAATGTAAACCTTTTAATCAAATCACTTGAGGCCTGGACAGGTCCCACTATAGGCAAACCCCTCCCTACAAAGAAGGCCCAAAGCAAGGCCGGGAAGATCAGGATTTCTTTGGTCATTGAACATGATAAAGATTAAATGAATACTGTATTTAATAGTAATATCCATATTTTTTACAGGGTGTTTCTAAATGTTTGAGAAATAATTGAACTTCCAATAATTCCAGTTTCCTTCAATATCCTCATATTTTAAAATATATGTATAATTTTAAACTGTTCCTTATATAAATCCCTTAGTAAACAAATATGCATTTTTAAGACTGCCTATTCTAAATCTCCATTCACCTATTTGAGTCTAGAACTTCAAATATCTGCCATCTTCACCACTGAAAGAATAAGATCAGGTTTTATACATCAACATCCAAGCACACCTGAAGGTGGAGAGAGACTATCTCCAGTTTCCCCCTTTCCCAATGACTTGGTTAGCATTCCACAGTCATGTCTTCCCTCTTCTTCCCTTGTCTTTGCCCTGACTGTCTCTCTGTGACTGTCTAACCCCTCATGAAAAAGTTTCCAGTGAGTGTCATTGAACTTATTTTCTCTTGATTTGAACCTCTGTCATATTTACATTATTCCCAAAAGTGCATAGCATCCCTAACTTGAGTTATGAGTGTTTACATTTTTCTTTTTAAAGTGAGTCATGATTATTGAAGCTTGGTAGGATTGTTTAATTGTTTCCTTCCCTTGGCAGTTTGTATAGAATTTTATGGAACCCAGGAAGCCATAATGCAGGAAAGAGGTCATATCAAGCTCAAATCATCTGAATCCTTTGTCCTAAATGTGAAGTGTCTTCATCAACAGTGGCCTACCCTAAAACACTAAGAAATGACCAATGGTTGATCTATAATCTGTAATGTTTTGGAAGTCACAGAGTCTATCATGACCAACCACTCAAAAAGAGGTGTCTCATGTCTGGAACTGTTTCTGTGGGTTTATTTTCAACCCAAGTAACTTCCTTTAAGATGTGAGATATATATATATACATATATATATATATATATATATATACACACATACACATACATATATATATATAATGTTTGCATACATACATGTGTTTATACATGTATATGTGTACATGAATATATATATATATATATATATATATATATATACAAACACATATAAATATATATTTGTGTATGTATAATTTCAAGGAAATATAAAACACAATTCCTTAAGGCCTCAACAAACAACCTTAATTTTTGTCTCTGTCCCTCTTCTTTCTTCTTTATTGACCTTCCACTCTCCACACCAATCAGATCCCCTCCCCATTATTCCAATTCCCACTTTACATTGTATCTATCCTGCTATTGCCTCCCAATCCCCCCAACATATGGTCTCTTTATACTTTTCTGGATTGTGGTTTTTCCATATTGTGTATACACATCTGAGAGTGTTGAGCTAGGAACTACAGATTAGAGAGACTGTGTGGCATTTGTCTTTGTGAACACGACTCCATTTGCAAAACAATTAAGGCAAACAATTGATAAGTGAATCTTCATAAAACTAAAAAACTCCTGCACAATTAAATAAGCAATCAGCCAGGTAAAGAAGAAACCCACAGGATGGGAGAGAATCTTTGCCAGTTATACACCAGATGGAGGATTAATATTCAGAATATATAAAGAATTTCAAAAATAAAGAGTCCAAAAACCAAATTACCATTTGAAAAATGGACTGAGACCTAAACAGAGAGTTCTCAAGAGAATAAATAAAAATTGCTAATAAAATCTTGAAATGTCTTTATCAACCTAAAAATGAGAAGAATGCAAACTAAAACAACTTTGATATTTCATGTTGCCCCAGCCAGCACATTTCAAATCAACATCAACAACAACAAAACAAAACGAACAAAAAATGTTATCTAGGTTGTGGAGAAAGCAGAACTCTCCCTCATTCATCCTTGTAGAAATATGAACTTGTGTAGCCACTCTGGAAAACAGGATGGAGAATCTTCAAAGACTAAAAATGGATCTACCATATGCGCAGCTATACTACTCATTGGTATATGACTGAAGAACTGAACATCTTAGTCCACAGATACTTGTTCACCAGTGTTCATTGATGCCTTCTTCACAGAAGCCAGGAAATGGAAACAACCCAAATGACTTCAACTGGATGAATGGATAATGAAAATGTGGTACATATACACAATGGAATACTATTCAGCCTTTTATGTAGATAAAAGGCTAAACCTAGAAAATATTACATGGAGTGAGGTTACATTTTTCTATAAAATAATATTTCATTCTTAAATGCTACTGCTTTTGATAATTTAAAGTATAATTAAGAGAAGCTGATATGCACAGGTTAAACAAATGCATAATTCAGTATATTTGCTTGGATTAATATAACTACTTGACTCAAAATCCAATTGAGACACAAAATACTTCCTTGCCTCTGTGAGTTCCTTCTGTTCCTCCAGTCATAACTCTGCTGTAGAGGTCAGTACTTTCCATATTTGCAATTTAATGTAAAATTGAGAGTGCAAACAAAGAGTATATCATCATGTTGTGTGATATGTGATAAAATGGTTGTTAATTTGAATGCACTAACATATAGATATATTTGCACACACAAACACACACATATATATGTATATACATTTAAAATTTAAGTTTCCTTTTCCTCCATATAACAAAAACTGTCATAAGAAAAACTCCTGAGTGCAATGCAAATTTACCACATAGTGATCTTGCGTTGTAAATTATTTTTATTTCATCTTATATATTTCTTACTTCATATTTTTTACACATTTATCCATTTGCTATGACCACAAAGGTTTGGTAACCACCATTATATCATGCAGTCTGCCTGTATATATTTACACTTTAAAATATATTCTATATGTAATTGAGGTTATTCAATAGTTTTCTCCTTCTGTTGATCTTACTTCCAGTTGAGTTAAATGGTGACTCCATTTAAATTAAAACTCCATTGATATATGTATCTATTTGAGGAAGTAGTCAGTTTCCATATAGCTTTTCATAAGGCCTTTATAGTGTTATACTTAACCTTCTCCAAATTTCGTCTTCTATCCTGCCCTCCTATTGAACTTGAGCCTTGAAACAGTATTGGAAATGTATTTTGTGAAACTTAAAGATTAACTACATAAGTTTTATATTATGAAATGTGCATGACACTTTGGGATAGAGGGCAGAATGTTAAGTTCTGAGTATTAAAATCTTCATAGGGTTGTGCTTTAAATATTTATTGTCCTGCTAATTGTTCTATTTTGAGAGATTGTACAAAGATTAGTTCCTAACTATTGGGCATAACAGACCCATATTGTAGCCAAGGATAAGAACTCCTCACTTTTGACATTGAGGAATGACATGCTGTGTGTGACTGTCACAATTTCATAATCCAATTATCTGTTGTTGGATGCCTAACTCTCCCACGTACTGAATCTGTAACTAATGTTCCAATAAACATACAACACTTCCTTTTTATTAGTGGTAGAGAGGCCTTTGTTAATTATTTTATTTTAATCTGATACATCTATATTTCATAGTCAGCATCGGGAAACAATCTGACTTTAGGGTGTTTTGTTCTCTTTTTCTGAAATTTAGTACTAAAGTCACTCTGTTTCAATTAGTATGTGACATGAAGAGAAGACAGATTATTGCAGCTCATGATTTGAGCATGTGATACATGATTTAATGTCTCTGTGAATCTATGTAAAATGTAATGGAGGTGGGGCTATGTGAAAGGAAGGAAAGCTCACATGATAGAACACAGAAAGCAAATGTGATAGGAAAAGGCCTAAAATATATATTTAAGAAAACTTTTCAGAGTCTATCACTGAGAGAATTCATGCAGGAACTAAAAAAGTATGGAGGTATACTGCTTGCCAGGTTCCGCACTTGGCATCTCAGAGGTGACTGTTTAGATAAATTTCTTCCTTTCTTTTTTTTTGTTTTTTTTTTTTTTTTTGAGACAGGGTTTCTCTGTGTAGTTTTGGTGCCTCTGTTGGATCTCACTCTGTAGACCAGGCTGGTCTCTAACTCACAGAGATTCACCAGCTTTGCCTCCCAAGTGCTAGATAACTTTCTAGCTCCAGACCACTAGCCAAGGAAATGGCAATGCCCTAAGTAGGCTGTGTCATCCTAAGTTAATTAACAGTTAAGACAATCCCTCAGATTTATCTCCATAGTATAAACATTAAAGTACTCAATTGGGGCTTCTCAGAGGATCCTATTCTGTGTCAATATGCCAATATGATAACTAGGACATTTCACCATTTGTCAACTTCCCACACAAACATTTCACTTATAGCCATAAATTTTCTATTCCTTGTCCCTGAGCTCTCATTTTAATATCAGCAGATAAAATACAGTCAAAATTTCAAAGTTCCATACTCTTGAAATTTTTAAGCAATTAAATATGCAATTACTCTTCAAATGTCAGAAGTCTCTTAACTCTAACTCTTGAAAAATAACAAAAAAAAGTCTTATTCCAAAATGAAAGAATTGAAGAATAGCAAAAGAAATGAAAAATCTAGCAGTATAAATGCAAATCACAGAGCTCATGTTCAGCATCTGGGACTCTCTAGTTGTCCAGCTCCAAAAAGTTTATGCAGGCTCACTTGACAGCTCTGCTATATACAGCAAACACACTTTGCCTCATAGGCTCTGCCATTTGCAGCAAACACAGTTTGTCACATAGACTCAGGCTGTCTCCACTCCACACCTGCCTTTGTCCTTGAAAACCACCCCATGGCACTGTCATTTCTGAAAACCAAGGAAGCATAATGGAAG